TTTCGTGGGTTTTGGGGGGTTTTGTTGTTATTGGTTTTTTTGTTTGTTTGCTTTGTTTTCTTTTGAGAGAATTTTGGTTCATTTGGAGCCACAGACTTTGGTGCTGTTCTTCACTTGTTTGTCTTCCTGTCTTCTGTTTACGTTGATGCTAACTTCTGCTGCGGATGATCTGGCCTTGTCTTTCTTCGGGTTCCTTCAGTTTGCCTCATTTTGTTCCACGGGCGGCCCGATTTGTGTTTGGTAACTGTGTGTGTGTGTGCGTGCGCGTGTGTGTATTTCTATGCACATGTGTGTTTAGTGGGCAGCAAACATCTTTCCTTCTCTCTGCATTAAACTGGACCGTATTTTATGTGTTGTGATGGCTGGGTTCTCTGCAGTGTGTAAGCTGTCAGGGGGAACCCTCACTTACCCTGGGACCTGGTCTGTAGGACCTCGAGACTTCACTTTAAGCCTTTGACACAAATAAGTCTTGGATTCTCGGAAGAACTTCCGTTTGGTTCCCAGTATTGTTTTGTGGAAGAAAAATGGTTTCTGACCACGGGGCCCTCTCTGCCCGCACATTGTCTCCACTGACATACACACAATCAGCAGCAGAAGAAACGACAGGTGCATGACAGGTCCCACTGAATAATGATTTCCGATCTTGGCTGCACGTGAAGATCATCTGAACGATTGACGACTTGGGGCCCCACGCACTGAGGGCCTGATTCCGGGGTGGGGGGGGTCTGCGATAGGGCCCAGGCATGGAGTTCAGAACATTCTAGATGAGGCTAATATGCCACCACGATGAAAGCAGCCGCCCCAGGACGTGGCACGTGGCGTTCTTGTGAACATCTGCAAACAAGTTGAAAGCCTGCGATACTCCTCCAGGCTCATCCGGGTTTCAGGTTTTGATGGGGTGACACGCCTGCATTACCCGCTTAGGTTTCGGTCAAGAAGAGGGATCCTTTCTGCTTTCTGTCGTGGGTGATCCTGTCTGGTCAGGTTCTCAGAGGCTTGTCCTAAGGGCAGTTTTCATGGGTGTAAGCCTATGTCTTCCTCAGACTTGCCTCTTCCAGCCTAGCCACATTGGCATCGCAAGCACCCGAGGGTGACATGTGCCACGAGGTGTCGAAGAGGTGTCCCTTCCTGCCCACCTGATGAAGAGGGAAGGAGGGGACCAGGGTTCGGGGCCACTGTTCCCACCATCGCTCAAATTCCGGGCCCCGTTTAATGCAGCTAACTGCCGGAGAACGTGAACCTAAGAGGTCTATTGTTTTGAAATCTGACTCATATTTGAACAAGTATGATCGTAAGTCATCTGATTCTAGCACCGAAATGCCTATGATTAAGATCCTAATCTATGAGAGAGAAGAAAAAATACAGGTGTCTATTTAAAGAGAGGACAGGTGTGTGCCTCTGTGAGCTCTTCATCGTATTAAGCGGAGATGGGAGGTTGAGGGGAAGGGGCCAGGACGAGAGGAAGGAGAGTCCTCAGGGGGCTGAGTCTCCGTCCCAGCTGTCCATCTGCAGGCCGGTGACCTGCCTCCACGCGAGCCACCGCTCCCCTTCGGCCTGTTTCTTCATTAGTCAGTGGGGGATTGCAAGACCTACCTCAAAGGCTCGTTGTATGGATTAAATCAGCTACTGCGTGCAAAAGGTTCTCTGCAAGCTCCCAAGCACTGTATAATTATTAGCTGTGATGATCAGTTTGAGAAACTGGCTTTCATAATGAGTGGCTCAATTAAGCTGCCACCTCCCTGCTGGCTGGGGAAGCCAGCCTGGGGCTGCTGGGAGGGGCACGCAGCGCCCACGCACGAGGGGTCTTGCCCTTGGCCATGTGCTGATCTTTTCTTCTTGGAACCAGTTTTGCCCAGAGAGGTTTTGAGTGTTGGGGCAGGACACTGCACTGCTAAAGGGGCCCAGGAAGAGAATGGGAAAGACTTTTTGTTCCAGGACCTGGGGGTCAGGGGAGCAGAGCAGCCGAGGGGGGAAAAGGGGACTTGCCTGTAAACTGCCGAAAGGTTCGGTGCCTCCACACAGTTCCCAAGCCGTGTTCCCCACCGAGTGGATCCACAGGGGTATGCTGGGGTGCTGTTGGCTCTGAGCCCAGGGCCCGCCATGAAGAGCCCCTGGAGGCCAGCGGAGGAGGCTCAGGGGGCATTGGGGGAAATGATGGAGAAACCCAGTTGTGCATCTCACCCGTCAGCCACTCAGAGCAAGCAAGCAAGCACGCGAAGGGGACAGCAGCTGAGAGCCTCCCGTGGGCAAGGGCTGAGCAGTCTCTGTCTCTCAGCGCGAGGCCCCTGGCTATCATTTGCGCAGTCAGAGAAAGACCTGGGGCCCCTTGAGTGCTCTCTGACACACGTGGGTGCAAATTCCAGACCATTCTGGGGAGAGGGCTCCCTTGGAGCTAGTACCCAGCATGCTTGGGTGCCCCGCAGGCTGTCAGGCTCGGGAACTCGGTCCGCAGTTCAGGGAATTGGACCAGAGGACAGTGAGTCTCTCCCATTTCCCTTTTTACCAGTTTTCTTCCTTGTTTTCTTACTCCTGGTGGATCTTGCTCCCTCATGTCCTTTCCCGGGTGCAGTGAACAGAAGATAATTGATAACATTTTCTTGACACCAGCAAGCTCCGTACCAATGCTGGCTGGACAGTCCTCTCAGAACCTTCGAGTGGTGGACATCATCATTTTCCCCATGGTTCAGAGGAGCAAACTGAGGTACAGGCGGCGGGTAAGGGGACCTATCCAGGGTCACACACAATCAGTCAGCGGGGATGCCGAGTCAAACCCAGCAGCCTGATCTCAAAGCCCATGCTGGGTCAGACGGACTCTCTGAGGATAGACCCTGCACCTACCCCCTTGTAGGACCTGCGGAGAACCTGGGGCGTTGGATTTCTTCTAGTCATGGTGGTAGCACTCTGATTCTGAATATTCAACTCCTGTAGACCGTGGTGGCAGATGGCTTAACGTGGGGAAAAAACCTTGGGACTTTATCAGACTCGCCCTGCTTCTGGGTGAAACGCGAAATCGGTTGAGAGCCAGGAACTCTGTTTAATCCTCACTCACATTAGCCCGATGAGACTGCTCCGTTCACCTAAGTGGTTAATGGGCAAAGTGGGTCAATCCAGCTTTAGCGTAAGCCGGGGATGGCTCTGGCACTGCGAGGCTGTCTTCCTTAAGGGAAAAACCTTCTTCCTCTAACTTGCCGGGAAGAGGGAGCTCCCCCCGGCGTGTGGCCCCTTTTTGGCTCGTGCGATAGAACTTTGGATCATCATTTCCATAAACGTGCTCAGGAGAAGAGTTGTGGTCTCAGTAGATTAGGGGTGGCTCGAAGCTGGAAGTTTTGGATGTCCTACCGAGAGGTAAATATTTGGTCAGAAGTGATGTGTGACCAAAAAATTTTTTTTTTTTTTTTTTTTTTTTTTTAATTCCCGGGCTCATAGAGGAAGCGGTCAGAAACTGCTAAATCCCATAGTTAGTGGAAAATTGTGCATCCGTGACCAAAACTTAGTCTCCAGTTAGTTAACACATCTCTTTCCTTTTAGTGTGCACACAGGTGCCCAACTTTGTCCTACCAGGTGCTATAAACTGTGGATTGAACACCATAATGCTGATAACCATCATCGTGGTAGCAAAGCTAGTAAATATCAGTTACAGACCACGTGTCCGCCATGTTCTGATCATAGTATGATCATCGTTTTACTCATTAAACTTCCATGATGGAGGTACTATCACTTTCGCTTTTACGGAGGAGAAAGAGAAGCCCAGAGAGGTTAAGAAAGATACTCAAGATCACACAGCTTATAGGCAGCAAAGCTGGGATTTGAACCCAGGTGGTTTGATGTCTGAGGCCTCTTCCCGTAGCTGTTAGCTTTATTGGCTCTGGCTTTACAAACCGCATAACCACTGAATGAAGTAGGTGGACGCTCTTCCCATTTCGCATGGTAGAATGCTCAAGTTCAGAGAGCAAATAAGGCACAACCTTCCACCGTCCGTTTGTGTTGCTGTCCGCGCTCACTCACGGCTTTCCGGCGTGGGGATCATGGCCTGAATTTCCTGTTGGTCTTAACAGTATTGTCTGCATACTTTGAAGATTTTATTTATTTATTCATGAGAGACAGAGAGAGAGAGAGAGAGAGAGAGAGAGGCAGAGGGAGAAGCTGGCTCCCAAGGAGCAGGGAGCCCGATGCGGGACTTGATCCCAGGACCCTGGGATCACGACCTGAGCCGAAGGCAGACGCTTAACCATCTGAGCCACCCAGGCGCCCTTGTCTGCATACTTTGGCTTAAATGAATGCAGTGATAGAGATCATACAAGTCCTTTTTTTTTTTTTTTTTTTAAATGGAGTATAAAGTATTTTTGGAAGCTTCTAGAGTTGGGTCTCGGGGATTTCCTCTTGGCAAGTTTGTATCAGTTTATGCTTCCATCTGATTTCACCTGGTTTTGGTGGCCTTCGGGTGTGCTTTTCGCGGTAAAGGCATTTTGTCAGCGGTCACTGTGTTGAAGCTGGGGGGCGGGGGGGGGACATCTTCCTTCCCGTTCCCAGTGCATGCGGGCCCAGGCGTGGTGAACACATGGAGTCAGGCTGGTGAGGACTCCTGGACAGCAAAATCTCTGGGAGCCCGACGTGCTGCTGTTGAGGAAGGGCACATAGCCAGAGGTCAGGGACCTTTGTGTTCTGACATCGTCTGTTTAGGGCAGTCTAAACACTGGATACCGGGAAAAATAAGGGAGAGGTGGCCCCCGCGAGAGGATTTAGAGAAACTCCGATTTCACTGTTTCTACTTCGGAGGAAGATAGATGCCTTCCTGTTGCACATAGTTAGTATCTGGCCTCCAAGCTTCAGATGGGACGTTAATGCGCCTTTCAGCTCTGAAATTCCTTTTACATGTTTTCACGTTTCTAGCACTGTTCCCTGTAATAAGAGGCAGCAAGGATGAGCAGTGTTGCCATTGATACGTGTGGCCAAAGAGGTGTCAGCTTTTGAGCCGACTTTACTCTGCTTGCTTTCCTCAGGGACCTGATGCCGAGGACCCTGGAGGGGCAGATCACCATGGAGAAGACACCCAGTTACTTCGTCACCCGCGAAGCGCCCGCGCGCATCTCGGCCATGTCCAAGGACACCAAGCTCATCGTGGTGGTGCGGGACCCGGTGACCCGAGCCATCTCGGACTACACGCAGACGCTGTCCAAGCGGCCCGACATCCCCACCTTCGAGAGCTTGACGTTCAAGAACCGCACGACGGGCCTCATCGACACGTCGTGGAGCGCCATCCAGATCGGCATCTACGCCAAGCACCTGGAGCACTGGCTGCGCCACTTCCCCATCAGCCAGATGCTCTTCGTGAGTGGGGAGCGGCTCATCAGCGACCCGGCCGGCGAGCTGGGCCGCGTGCAGGACTTCCTGGGCCTCAAGAGGATCATCACCGACAAGCACTTCTACTTCAACAAGACCAAGGGCTTCCCCTGCCTGAAGAAGGCCGAGGGCAGCAGCAAGCCGCACTGCCTGGGCAAGACCAAGGGCAGGACCCACCCCGAGATCGACCGCGAGGTGGTGCGCAGGCTGCGCGAGTTCTATCGGCCATTCAACTTGAAGTTCTACCAGATGACCGGCCAGGACTTCGGCTGGGATTGATCGGCCCTGGGGCCGTGTGATTTACCACTTGGCTTATGTATCGAGAGAGGTTATATGTATGTAAAATGTACAGAAATCTATTTTATAATAATTTATTTTTAATTCATAAGCAATTAACTCACTCAGCTGCCTAGCCACACTCTTTAGAGAGTTAGTTTCATAATCTGTCAACATTCCAAAGTGTTTAATCTTTTCTTTTCCTCATGATTGATGGTGCTTCCAACCCCCGCCCCCCGTCCCGCCCCAGCCCCTACCCATTCTATTTAAAGAGAAGAAAAGCACAACTTGAGATTTTTGTTGTTACGGGTATGCAGCCTTCAATCGCTGTCTGAATTCACTTGCCATCTCCCTGTGTCTTGGGTCTTATAATCCAGCTTCCGGTCCTCCCTCCCTGCCCGCGTACCTCGTAGGAGCGCCCAGCTGCCCCAGCAGCTTGGCTCCCTCAAGGTCATGTCTCATGTAGTAGCCTCTCCTGCCCGTGTGTCGACATTTCAAAGGACGTCGAGGCAAGACCACAGCACTAGGCTTTTCCCCCCAAGTCTACTCAGCTCGCGGGGGAGTCACTACCTTTGTAGGGACATGTGCCTCCTCTCTGGAGTCTGCGTCCCAGGGTCCGTTTACTTCAGCTTATGATTTTGAGAGAGAGCCCTGCGTCCTCTCCTGCCCCGGTCCCTGGTTCTTGAAGCAGCTTGAAGTGTATGCAGATGTTATAGCCCCTCTTTCCCAGGTCACGTGTGTGAGATGCTTGGGTGCTGCTTTAGAACTAAAGACGACCTCTCCTTTGCACGAGTGCACCATGCTCGGTCCTCCAGGCAGACAGTTCTGCTCTGACACACCAAAGAATCCCCTAGGCTAGCAGAACCATTGGCACAAACCCACGGGTGCCGGGTGTCAAGACCCGGAGGGGTCAGGTGCATCCCACGCCCTCAGAGCCCCCTCAAGGTGCTGCTGGGTGCCGAGCCAGCCCATGTGGGGCACATCCCAGTACTAGATGGACCACCTCAGTGGGGAGAAAAGCCAAAATAGCACCAGAAGGACGGGCGGCCCGGCAGAAGAAGCAAGTCCCTGGCCCCCTGCTTGATGTCTGGAATTCGCCTCCTTGGAATTCCTAGCTCATCACAGACTGACAAGACAGTCTGTCGCCAACAACCAGACAGCGAGCACCAAGAGTGGCTCTTGAACAGACAGGCTGGGGGAAGAAAGTTGTTGACTGGCAGCCGCCGAGCCTAACCATTATGAAGATGTCCCTTGTTTGAGCTAGGTCCCAGGAGAAGGGTCTCCAGCATCGTCGCTGCTGATGCAGAATGCCTTCCCCTCCATCCCTCTCTTGAGAGAGCAGTTAGAGATTATTTTTGACGGCTAGCTTGTGGCAGTCGGGGTCACCATATAGCAATATTACAGAATGAACACGTTCACTTTATCCTGTTTTCTAAACCAGAATGCTTCTACCATAGAAGAATTTTCATTTGAGTTATAGTTGCACCAAGGCTTATGTGGGAAGACACACGTTGTCCAAATGGTTGGGGTGTGAGATTTACGAAGACAGTTTTCATTTGAGTTATAGTTGCACCAGGGCTTATATGAGAAGAGACACACATTGTCCAGATGGTTGGGGTGTGATATTTACGAAGACAAGAATTTTCATTTGAGTTATAGTTGCGCCAAGGCTTATGTGGGAAGACATACACTTTGTCCAGATGGTTGGGGTATGGTATTTACGAAGACACTTTTGTACATTGGATGGGATAGAACTTACCCCGTTGAGCAAGAGAACTTGTATGAAAAGAGAGAGAAATAATTCATCTTTCAAAACTGATCACGATGTCACCGGTCCTAGAGTGATGCCTTGTTTGGTAATTGGTTTGTATTCGCCCACGAGTTTGAGCCCAGACTTAGCTCGCTCACACTGAGCAGCAAAACAATCAGGATCATCGTGTAGGTTCTCGGCAGGAAGATGGGCACTGAGGCTCCAGGCGTTATTCCTCAGATGGCTCCGTTCATTTCAGAGCTTAACGACTGCCTCTACCAAGTAGTACAGAAGCTGCCTTTAGGGGAATGCCATAATCCTAGCGTGGTTCTCTCCCTTCTTGCTGCTTGGGCATCGAGACATCTGCATTAGGGTGCTAAGGGGTTGTACGTTTTTCCGGTCAGAAAGCTCATTTGTAATAAAACGGAGGATGCCTCTTTCCAGTTACAAGGTAACATCACTCAAAGTAAAAGCCAGGATCCACGACCTCCACAGAACCCTGCCCCGACCACTTTCTGGCCTCTTTCACGCCCCGATAGGACTCATGATGTAGAAGTGCAGAAAAAGTGCAGCGAAGGGTATGCGACAAGGCAGTAGGAAAACATGCATGCGCTTTTCCTTCCCCTTTGGGTCCCTGTTGTCTTTCCAAGCTGGACAGGTTTGATTAAGTTGTTTATTCCCTGCCTTACAACTGAAACAGGAAATCTCCAGATAGAAGGAGGGTCACTGAGTCATGAACACTGAAGTGAGTCAGGATTCTATTCTGGGTCAAATCCTCGAATCCAAACAGATGTTGATAATTGGCAAGGACAGACTAGAACACGTTTTCCTGTAGAAGATAAATAAATGAAAGCTTCCATGCATCTCTTCATAGGGGTCTGATAGCTTACAGTTCGCGACCCAGCCAGACGTGGCATTTGCCCCACGGTTACACCCTGTCATGTGATAGTTATTATTGAGCCGGGGTGCATATGTCCTCCTGCAGAAGCTAGGCAACACGTACAATTCAGCCTTGAGTTTCTTCCTGTTCTAGCAATCTCCAAGGCCACCGGCTCGAGTTCTTAGCTGCTAGAAGACAAACACCGGTTCGTGTTTTGGCACTTTGTCCCTGTGCACGCTTTGGGTTTTTTCCAGTTTACAGGAAAAACTCTTGATAATTCACTGGGGGTACTTTATCCCTCTCCGTTTCATTTGCTTGTTAAAAACAAAAAGGTTAACAAACAAAAATAAGAAATTGGAAGTTTTTATTGCCCCGGTCTACCCCCGTGCTTGCTTTGAGCTGTTCGGTAACTTGGGAGGTGGTACCTGGAAAGGTATTTAGGTATAGTGACTGCATAATAAATACTTGGATGACAGAGGAAGAGACGTTGTCTTTTTCATGGGATTCTCTTTGGAAGTCATTTTGAGTGACAGATAGATTTTAGGCCTTTGGAGAAACAGTTTCAGATCCTGCCAGGATATTTACATAAGAAAGGAAAATGGAAGGTTCCAGTAGACTAGAAATACTTAGCGTGTATCTCAAACGCTGACACAGACGTCTGTCATTTTTCTTTTTCAGTTTCTCAAGAAGGATGGTCAATTAAACTGAAAGGTGTGGTTAGATTTTTTTTTTCACTTTTGTAACATTAATTTATGACTGAGTTCATTCAGCCCAGTAATCTGAAATACGGTGCAAATTCTAGCCGTGTGTCTTCTATAACCTGGATGTTAGAATAGCCAATATGTACAAAAAGAATTAAAACAAGTATTTTGTCCTATGTATAACACAAATTAATTTTACACAGAGAAAGATGTTTCTAGGAAAAAGAAATTCTGGTAATTCATACTATTTCTTTGTATGAACAAATAAAATCTATTTTACCAACTGGTGAGTGCTCTTCTGTTTTATTGTGTGTTGCGGATGGACAAGGGAGTGCTGAGTCTGTAACTGATCACATGCCTGTGTGCGCACACGGAGTCCTTCTGAGGAGGGCAGGCTGATTTGGCAGATTTCAAAATAACTAACGTGCAAATAGTTAGGGCAATTTTTTGTAAAGGACTCTGAAGGCTCTGAGATCAGTGGGAAGGCCCCTGCCCCCTTGGAGGAGCATGCACAGAACTTCCAAGAACACCACGGTCACCATATCTTGCAGGCTCTGGGTGCCTCAGGCTCTAGCTTGGCTGGTGGGGGGGAGCTGCCCTGTGTGGGGTGTACTACAAGTATGACCAAGCAGAGCATTGATAGCTGGGCTATTTGGATAATGGTAACATTCTCATCTCACATAAACAGTTGAATGGAGACCCTTATCCTTGAGACAGGGTTGAAAAGTGTTTAGACAAGATGATGTTTCCATGTCTTTAGCTCACACCAAGAGATCTTCTGTTTCTTTTGAGGGGACACACTTTGTACGATGATTATTTACTATCTTTTAAGATTTACTTATTTGAGAGAGAGAGAGTGTGCACGAGTGGGGAGGAGAGGGACATGGGGAGAAGCAGGCTCCCTGCTCAGCAGGGAGCCCAGTGCCAGACTCGATCCCAGGACCTTGTTATCATGACCTGAGCCGAAGGCAGACGTTTAAGCGACTGAGCCACCCAAGCGCCCTGATTATTTACTATCATAAACATTTGATTCATTCTTGTATTTTCCTTAATTTTTGTTTTCAATTTTCCATTGAGATTTATTTTAATTTGGTATACCTTTGGTTGAGGTTTAGAGTAGCTGTTACCAAATTGATTGATTAAGACTCAAACCCGAGAGTTCTGACTTCATATTTTTGAAACCACTCCATTGAGGTATGATTGGCTTACAAAAAGTATGCATGTTTAATGTATGTAACCCGAAGAGTTTCATGGTAAGAGTTCACTCATAAAATCGTCAGCACTCTCAATGCCATAAATACATCCACCTGTTCCAAAAGTTTCCTCCTGCCATCTTATTTTTTTGTGATAAGAACATTTCACCTAAGATGCACCCTCTAAGCAAACTTTTAAGTATTTAGTATAGTGTTGGTAACTCTAGGCACTATGGTATACGTTGTCCCTGGGACTTAATTCATCCTGTATAACTAGAACTTTGATTTTGCTTAATTTAAAAAGGGAATCTATTACAATCTTAGGTGAAAAGCCATCATTTCTTGCCATAAAGAGGAGGTAATCAAAAAAAGTAAATACAATGAAAATAAATCCTTGCATAATGCAATATATGTTAAGAAAAAAAAAGAGACATTGGGGAGGGTATGTGCTACGGTGAGCGCTGTGAATTGTGCAAGAGTGTTGAATCACAGATCTGTACCTCTGAAACAAATAATGCAACATATTTTAAGAAAAAAGAAAAAGAAGAAGATAACAGGAGAGGAAGAAAAGGGGAGTATGTCAGAGGGGGAGACGAACCATGAGAGATGATGGACTCTGAAAAACAAACTGAGGGTTCTAGAGGGGAGGAGGGTAGGGGGATGGGTTAGCCTGGTGATGGGTATTAAAGAGGGCACATTCTGCATGGAGCACTGGGTGTTATGAACAAACAATGAATCATGGAGCACTACATCAAAAACTAATGATGTAATATATGGTGATTAACATAACAATAAAAAAATTAAAAAAGAAAAAAAAAGAAGAAGATAGCAGGAGGGGAAGAATGAAGGCGAGTAAGTCGGAGGGGGAGACGAACCATGACAGACGATGGACTCTGAAAAACAAACTGAGGGTTCTAGAGTGGAGAGGTGTGGGGGGATGGGTTAGCCTGGTGATGGGTATTAAAGAGGGCACATTCTGCGTGGAGCCCTGGGTGTTACGCACAAACAATGAATCATGGAACACTACATCAAAAACTAATGATGTAACGTATGGTGATTAACATAACAATAAAATAAAACGATAAGAAATGAGAAAAACAAAACAAACAAAAATAAATCCTTGCTAGTAATTTCTAGCTAGATATAACTCAAGCCAGGTTTGCCGTAGGCTCTCACCCGCTGCTCCTGGCGATGGTCACTCCTGGCAAAGACTAGCGCTTAGCAAATTACCATCTTGCCTTGAAGGGTAAGAACTGAAGAGGGTGTGAGTTACCCAATGCTACTTGGTGTTGAGTCCAGGAATGCCTAAAATGGGAGCACCCCCCAAATACTCTCTGGTAGCACTCTGGGTTTTCTCGCATTTTGGAAAACACTATGATTCACACCAAGAAAACATCTTGCACAGAAGCCCAGAGTTGGAAGTCAGCCTAACATTCTGGGAAGGCCGTGAAAAAAACACCCCACCCAAGCAAGGGCGCTAGCGGGTCAGGGGGGATACAAATCATTAACATTTGGTTTTCAACAGCCAGCATCCTTATGGAGAACTGTTCCTTCAAACCTAGGTATACGCCACTATGAGAAGTATGTGTGAGCCTTGAATGTCGACCTGACTTTATATCCATCCCATTGATTTTCTGCTTTTTCTATAGAAAGGTAATAAAATGAACCTAAAATCTACTCATTAACCAGAGAGCAGTATAGAGCAATTGTTCTCAAGTTTGGGCAGATAAGTGCATGATGCCACCTATCTGTGGAACCTAAAAGAGACAAATTCAGAGAAACGAGAGTGGAGTGGGGTTACCGGGGGTTGGGGTGGGGGGAGAAATGGAGAAATACTGGTCAAAGGGAACAAACTTCCAGTTATAAGATTAAAAAGTTTGGGGATGTAATGTTCAGCACGGTGATTATAACAGATAATACTGTATCTTATATACTTCACTGGTGTGTTGAGAGTAGGTCTTGAATGTTCTCACCACAAAGAAGAAATGACCATTACACAGCTATGCCGGGAATCAGTTTGAGATCTATAGATGTATCAAATCAACGTGTTGCGTAACTTAAACTTACATGATGTTATTTGTTGATTATATCTCAATAAAGCTGGAAGACATTTCAAAATAATATAATGTAACCCCAAAAAGCTCCCCCAGTGATTCCAACATATAGCTAAGCTTGAAAGCCATGGTTTTCAAAGTATGGTTTCTGGACCACATCAGCATCCCCTGGGAACCTGATAGGCATGCCAATTCTCGGGCACCTGAATCGACCTACTGAATGGGAAATGCAGGATTTAACGAGCTCTCCAGCTGATTCTGATTCATGCAGAAATCTGAGCATCACCGCATTAGAGCGCAGACTTCATATCATTTCCTATCATTTTGAAACCAGAGACCCTTGGATCTCTAATCAAGCACATTGTCTTCTGTACCCGACTTTTCACCAACCAAGGCAATTCCTAAGCAGAGTCACCCCTTATAACTCTGGGTCTCCTTTCACAAAGTAGGTGTCTCTGCATTTCAAATAGTGGCCATGGCTGCCTGGCTTCCCTCACTCTGCTGGGTCCTGTTTTTCTCAGGCAGCCCCTATGCTGTCCTCTCTAACATACTCCCAAGAGTGGAATGATAGGTTGATACAGGAGAGCTAACATCATGTAAATCCCCCCCCATCTCACCTTACCTTCTAGATTCAATCTTCAACAGTATATTCCCAGCACTTCCTCTCTGATTGTCATGATTCCTTCTTATTCTTCACATTTGACTCCCAAAAGCCCAGTGTCTTAAGGCTTGAGCTTCCATCTGGCCATCACGTTCCCAGTTATAACGAGTGGCTCTAAACCTCCAGGTCCTAATAGTAGCATCCAGTTTCATTTTTCTGTTCTCACCCATTGTCATGATGACGAGGTGTGAAAGATGACAGAGCAGCCTCGTGGGGCAAAGCTGGCTGTGGAGACGTATCTGTGGGCTCAAAGCCTGCACTCCTCATTTGAGAACTTCTCTCCGTGCAACGGTATTGTTTTTGTGTGTGAACTAATAGGGACTTAAGGACCCCGGTGCAGTTTCCTAAAAGCCATGGAAGACCCTCTCTTCTGCCCCTATAGCTGCATGAGGGGATTAGAGGCTCCTTCACATCTCCCTTGTCAGCCCCCAATACCTCCCGACCTTGCATGCCCCCCATGGCTGCATAGAAGCTGTTGTAATTCCTCTGCAGAATCCTGACCTCAAAACACCTAGGCTCTGCATGCTTTCTCTTTCCATCTATCTAGCAAGAGAAGACAGATGATAGAGGACACCAAGACTCCATTGGAAGCAGTAATTAACAACAGAAGGTCTCCGGAGCTCCTTGAGAAGGGGAGGCGTCTGATGGGAGGGATGCTCAGAGACCTTTATTTTGGATATGATATTCCATACGAATGGGAGCAATAAGAGGCTGGAGTCAGAGATCGGCTCGTTCGTTCAATAAATATTTATGGAGTGCTTACTGCTGCTCCAGGCACAACCCTAAACACACCACGCTTCCTGATTCAAGGAATTCACGTTCCAGGGAGGAGTTGAAGGATGTGTACAGATACAACTGGAATACAATATGACAGGAGTTCCTAATCTGATCTGCGGCGGCGGAGAGGGAAGGTGTTACCTATACACCTGGCAGGATGTAGCCAAGTGATGGATGGAGGGCGATATGGAGGCAGAGGGCAAAGAGAGCCGTGAATAAATACAGCCAGTTGGCAACTGCCGGCCGGATCCCACTGGCTCGGGAGCGCTCAAGTCAGAACACTTGGAGTCATCCTTGGCATCTCTTTCTTTCACATTCGTCCCGTCCGATCCATCACTAAGTCCTGCCATGGCAACTATCAGAAAGCCTCCCAAGTCTCTACACTTCTTCCTGTCTTCTGTCACACCACCCCTGGCACCAGCTACCCTCCCGTCTCGCTGGGCTACTGTGGTCGCCTTGCACCTGGCTTCCCACACGCTTCCCCCTGCTCCGTCTGGTCTGTTCTGCTCACAACACTTTGGGGAATCTTTTCAAAACTCAAATTGGACTGTGTACCCTTCTTGCTAAAAACCTT